GGGGGGGGGATGTTGATTTCTTTTATTTCCTTATTTTGATGAACACTTGATTTCACCAAGATGCAACACAAACATACTTTCTACAAGGGTGTATAACATCTTTGGATTCAGAAAACATGACACTTTATTTTATCAGCAACTCTGTAAGGTTGACACTTTAGTTTTGCTGGTTGTGATGCACTTCGTTGATTGCATTTTGCCTAACTGTACTATATATATGTTTTTTGGGGGGGTTTTTTCCTCAGTTCGGGAAGGGTGTGTACTTTGCTGACATGTCCAGTAAAAGTGCCAACTACTGTTTTGCTACCAAGAGTAAAAATATCGGATTGCTGTTGCTGTGTGATGTAAGTGAAATAACTACCTGTATTTGTATTTTTCAATGTTGTTTCTAGTTTTTTAGGTGGGTGTATTTGGGGTCATTTTGACACAGGCAGTGCTTCCCATCTTCTGTATTTTTACGGAAATTCGTACTTTCTGCCAGTTCTGTCCTTACTCCCCCATCTACTCCTTCCGTAAAAAAGTGCGACAGCGTAGGACTACTGAAATTCCATAGCAAAGGATCCGTACTGGCCTTTGTATAGTCTTGTATAAGTTAAGGATATTTACGGTAATTTTCTCGGCAATAAGTTAATGTTGCTGAAACCTGCCAGATTGAGATTTCCTGCAAGTGACCATTATTCCACGTTGGTTGTCAGTTCATCTTTACCTGCAGATTGATCAATATCTGGCGAACTGTGCCAATTTTCTCCTTTCCATCATTCATTCATTCTTTCTGTCTTTCTTCGGATTGTTGCAGCGGCTGGAAAATCAGCGCGTTGATCGAGTAAATTGACTTGTGATTTTAGACAGAAAGTTCCTGTCAGAAAGAAACTTTTTTTGCAAATTTGTCTAGATCTAGAGAAATTGTCAATGTGGAGATACTACGGCACGTGAACGTAATAAGTGCTGCGGCCTGAACCCTCACCGGGGCGCTGTCCCTGGACCCTGCTGGGGGCCAATGTGGCCCCCAGACCCAGACCCACAGCAGAATTTTCCTTATTTTTCTGCTTCAGCTGTTGGAAGCACTGACAGGGGACAAGGGTTGAAAGAGTTAAGCTTGGCATATGTCTTACTGGCACGTACATACCTCAACACCTCATTGCTGAAAAGTTGTGTCTTTGGGGTGGTCTGGTTTTTTTTTAACATAAATTCATGAACTCGGAACTGTGGGTGGTTGGTAGGTGCTCCGATGTGGTTTACTCCTTTTTTCCTATCAAACATCTGTTGTTCTTATCTCTCCTCCTTCTTTTTAGTGTTTGTTTCTCTCTTGTAACTCCTCTTATCTTGGTCACTATATACTATATGACCTAATTGTGTTGCGTGTGTCATAAAAACTGTTAGTTAAACTAAAACAAAACCCCCGGGGCGGTGCTACTGACTGAAGTGTCTTTAGGCCATTCCCAAATGGGAGACATTGATATGTTCTTATGCACAGTAGAAATGTAACTTGTAAATGGGCTGATTCATCAATGTCGTGCTAATAACTGTGCCTGAACTGCAAAAGGGAACTACTGCTTTTTCTTTCCTAATCCTTACGATCGTCATTTTCCTCTATTTCTTTCGCATGTTTGTCACACTCTTAAGACCCGCTATTTCCGGTGTGTCTTGATAGTCGAAGCAGACTTTGTGCTGTTGAAGCTAGAGAGGTGAGCAGAGTAAGCCCAATTCCCTGTAAGGATTTCTCTGTTGACATCCATCCCTTGGCGCTCTTGTGACCTTATGCAGTTGCAAGCGCCTTAAAACCTCTACTAAAATAAAAACAAAAAACAAAAAAACCTAAAACAAACTCTGGACTGTATTTCTGTGTTCACCAGGTGTCTCTGGGTACCACAGAGGACAAACTGGCCGCAGACTACAACGCAGCCAAGCTCCCTAACGGGAAGAACAGTGTGTGCGGCCTCGGCAGGGTAGCCCCAGATCCTGCTGCTTCTATGTCTTTGTAAGTGCTGTTGTGGTCTAAAGCAGTTACTGGACCAATGTGTAGATTGTTTTGGAGATTATTTGACCTGAAGCTACAGCAGGGGAAGAGATAGGAAAATAGGAAAGAAGTGAATTTCATAAATTGTTGACAATCTCTTAAGATGTCTTAAGTCCAGAAAGTAGAATTTTTCAGGAGAGAGAAAAAACTGCTGTGTTGAGAAAAATGTTTTTTTTTATGTACTTTAACTATCTTTTCTTGCTGTTTTCAACATGATTTAGAATTTGAATTTGGGCAAAATATTATTTGAGCTAATGCAACTGATGCCACAGATTAAGAGACTGAAATTTAAAGCAAAAAAAGTCCAAATTTTGGGATTAATACTTTTGAACAGCTGGGTGATGAAATACAAAAGAATTTGCGTCCTCAAAAGAACTAATTATAAAATTGTTCTTGTTAAAATGTCACTGCTGACTGCCGCTGACCCTATGTGTGGTAATCCTGTCTTCTCACAAGTACGGACCTCTTGTCTAGCTACTGTGGTTGTGATCTAGTCTTGAAAATTTGAGGTTTGAATTTTGTTCCAGGAGTATTTCCTACCATCCTGTTTTCCTGAGGAGGAAGAAAATGTGACTCCTTCTTGATGACAAATATTGTGTCTCGTGGTTTGCTTCACTTTAATGATTTGATATCAGGGACTCTAGCGCACGTATGGGTGTATGTTTCCTTTGCCCATCTGTGCAAGGAATGCAGGCCTGAGCATATGGTGGTTTATATATCAAACAGTCATCCCAAGGTAGTTCAGGTGCATGAGTCCTGTACGCTCTGGGGATCAGGCCTCAAATGGATAGTTATTATTGGTAATCTCATTCCTTTTCAATAGCAGGCAGTATGGGGCCTATAAAAAAGTATAGAAGCCACAAGAACAGAACAGCAAACTGTTTGTTCCTTGCTCTATTATATTTCTCTGTTTCTCTCTGCCCCCCCCCCCCCCCCCCCAGAGCCGATGGTGTGACTGTGCCACTTGGGAAAGCCAAGGACACGGGTGTGGTGAACCCTTCCGGCTACACTCTCAACTACAACGAGTTTATTGTGTACAACACACAGCAGGTCCTTATGAAGTACTTGGTACAGGTCAAATTCAACTTCAAATAGGATTCACCCGATAGCGGACCAGGTCTCCACAAGGCAGCGGCTATAGATTTGTTTATGTATGTTTTGATTAGCCCTTTCGTTGCCCGGGGGTATATGTTCCTACTGTCAGCACTGATTTTCAGGTGAGCTCGTTACTCAGGACAGCAGCCTAATGTCTTAATGTTAATGGACGCCCGGTCTAGATCTAAGGCACTCATGACGTATTTCAGACACCGGGTCTTCAATTGTACCCAATTCTCACTTTTCTTATACTTATACCCCTTTTCGTCTCATCTTACTCATAATTTCGAATAACCTGCAGATCTAAGTCAAAAAGTGAATTTATTTGCCTTTTTAAAGTCATTTCGATGTTTACGTTTTATGAGAGCATGCGGCCGCCCACAAGCCTAGGTCTGTTCCTCGATCACTTGTAAGCCCAGCAGAAAAAAAATACCAGCAAAGTTGGTACAGATGTGCGAGTCTTTTATCCCCGAATACGAATCTACGCAGCTCTTGTGGCTAAAACTCCGTACAGAAGAATTAGAGCCAGGTTATTAGCGTGGCGTATATGTAATGTCATACAGGCAACCCGGAGCGGCAAATTTTGCCAACTTCCGTGACGTTCATGGTACGGCACAGCGCTAAAAATTATGCATTTACATGACATACCAGGTACAGCGTAAGGCGACGAAGGGTTAAGAAGATCCCCCAGAACAGAGGCAGGTGGAGAGGTCTTTCTTGGTGGCTTCTTGATGCAATACCAGGGTGAAAGAGGGGAGTGATTATGTTTTAATTGAGAGGACCCAAGTTAGTTGTCTTGTGTTTGAAAGACTTTTTAGTAAAATATTGAAAATTATGTTTTCATGTACTGAATGCACAATGTCAAAGTTCAAGAAATCTTTGCCAGCTGTGAGCAATTTAAGTAGGAAGACTCGATGAAGCAGCATGATGTGAAAGTCTGTGCAAGAATGACGGACAGATGTGGATCTTTCAATGTCAAAGGAAAGAATGAAAGTTCTATTGTGTGTGTGTTTGTGTTTATGGAATTTTTATGCTTTGAATGCGAGTATTTTTTTGTTCATTTCTAGAGTAGTGTGTATATTGAAAATTTAGTGGAAAATGTAAGAAATAAAATTTCTTTTTTTTATCTGTGATCAAATGTTTTGTGAGGTGATCTTTCGGATTTTGGTACTTTATACTTTTTGTGTATTATTTTCTATCACTTTAAAATTGAGTACTAGGGTAATGTTGAAAGGCTGTATCTGCATATATCCCATTGAAGATTTACATCATTTTGTTTTTTTGCCTGAGCTGTTGGTGGATGCTTTGGTATGGTTTTCTTCTTCTACTTCTTATCAAATGTTGAAGTTATCCTGATCTGTCTTGTGAAATGTGGTGGCCACCATTGCAACTTGCTGTAGACAACTGTTAATGAATTAATTCATTTAAGAGTTACTGCTATGTTGAGTATTTGACACAGTGGGTGCTTGACTCAAAGCGGCAAGGTCACAAGGTTCGAATCCAACATTGTTTCCTCCATTGAGGCTCCTTACATATTGACTATCTCTTTACCTTAGTACCGTAGTGGAAATGGGTACCTGGCTTAGGGCATAAATCGAGAATCGGAGAGCACTGTTTTAATGAGTTATTAGTTCTTCACATTGTTATTGTTAATTCAGCTGCATGTAGGTCTGTTCCCCTTCGGCCCAATGCTGTGCTGTAGAAGGTGAAAATCTTCAATTATAATAGGAATAATAATGAAGATCATTTCTATAGCGTCCACTCCCGTGTAAACACGGCTCTAGGCGCTTTACATAAATGCATATATACAAACAATATTCACGCACGCAACACACACACACACACACATACACACACACGCTCATGCACACACATGCACGCCAAGCACACACATCTACTTGCTTATCACACGCGCACGCTTATCATGGAGTAAATGGTGCTGTTTAATGTGGGTGGGAGGAAGTACCATGGTATAGTGTTTTTTTTGCAGATGAATAAGTGACCGAGATCCTGATGGTGCTTAATTGGTTTTCTGATGTGGTCTTTGCTTTCTACTTCTTTTCATGTGGTTTTAAAAATCTGGCAGCTTAATTATGACTCAACAAAAATTACCATAAAAAGATAACTGAATCTTGTTCCTTTGAAATTCAAATTTATTGCAGTCTGTTGACACAAAGAGACTTGAGTAGAAAGGAACTTCTCATTGTATGCTACTTCCGTTACTCCATATCTTCTGAATTCATTTGAAGTCACAACATGTGAGAAAACAGTCTGTTCAGGAGAGAAACATAAATAATTATACTATAACTCTTTATTATATTATAAAACGTGAAGAGACTTCGAGCCCAGGGGCAGGCCTGTTGTAAAATCATAAGAATTTGCTTTCTCTTCATGTTGTCAGCATGAATTGGAGGTTGAATATCGATAGTGTCGAGGGCAATTTGGCTAAATGTGGGTTTTAAATTCGCCTGGGGGTCTATTTCTAATCTTGAAACATAAAGCTTGACTGTGTGGTGATATAATGTAACTCCAAAGACAAAGGAAATGCACTTAACAGAGCATTGAATACTTGTAATTGAAATAAAGAGATAAAATCAAAGTTTTGAGTCTTGAGTAAAATATGCTTCTTTGAATTTGGCCATTTTGCTGTTGACACCATCGATAGGAATGTTAGTTCTTTCTGTTCTCTGGTCACAGGGGATGCGATGTCCAAGAATTGGTAAAGAGAAAATGTACATATTGGGGACGGGTACGGTAAAGATTATAGAACTTCTAGAAAATGTAGTAAAAGTAATTTTTAAAAATGAAAAGAAATATGTACATGATCTACCATGATGGAAGTGTTACAAAGCTGATGCATAATATAAATTATAATTCTGTTCTTGAAACATTTTAAAACTTGTGAATATATTTGTTTATTAATTTGTTTGGTATGAAATGAGGGAAACTTCAAAGCATGACAGGTCTGACAATTTAAGGCTTATTAGGTGGGTATATTGCAGGGAATATTGAGCAAGTTGAAAGACACATTCAGAATAGTATTTAGTATGGTAATGTAGAAAAAAACTCTTGAAATGATTCCATGGTCTTGACACAAATTTTCTGCCATTGGAGGTCAACATACAGTTGTGAAAGACAAAGTAGTGATAAGATGCAGAGCAGAAAATATAGAGAAGATTTTGCTCACCATGTTAAATTAAGGCCCATCAACTTGATGGTGAAAGACGAAGGGGAAAAAGCCTGTCATAAGTAAGTCATATTAAATAAGATGTAGGCCTACTGTAATACAATGTACCAGTAACTAGTAAAAGTAATATAACATAATACATCATGTATCCACAGAGCCCATCACGGCATTTTCTCATGCTTCAGTCTAATCCCACCCACCCCATGTTTGTCACATTTCGCCAACGCCTGTACTGAGTCCAGACGTGACATACTAATACATCACTAAAGTTTCTTCCGACACAGCTCGCGTCAGTGTGAATGGTGCTAATACTAGAAGAAGTCGATGCTTTGATTATCACCTGTGTGTGTTTTTTATAGCGCACTATCTTATTACGTCCTGTCTTTTGTGTTCGCATATTGACAGCCCTACATGTAAATGGAAAGGCAAGGAAAGGTCTCTTTCTATCTTATCGAAAGTTTAAAGTAAAGAGATGTCGAAACAGAAAGGTTGTGCTTTTCTTTCCCTCTATCTGCTTTTGTTCTGCTTGTGTATACAACTTTTACTTCTCCTAAAATTAAAATACTTGATCGTTATCGTGCCGATACTTACTTCACATATCATCTCTAAGAAACAAATGGCAGAAAACTGATGGGGATATTTAGCTAATAGAGTTATATTTAACATGGACTAAAAAGCAAAGTTATATCCTGTCATTTGGGCATCTGCGCTTATTAAACATTGGATTAAAAGAACCCACATACATTATAGCATCCATTATACACAAACATACAGCTTAGTACTTGTACTTGTAGGCATGCATACAATCTTATACTTGTACATGTAGTATAGGAGGATTGCCCGAACAGAAAATGCAAGCGTCTGAGAGGTGAGCACGGTGGCCGTTCTCTCGGAGTTAAAAGAAGTCAGATTCAGAACGACAGGAAGCAATAATTCTTTGAATAAAAGCAAGCGGGTAAGTTGATGAGGCTGGCACTGTGGTCTGGCGGTTAGGCGCTCAACGCTGTCACACGCTGGAGATCCGAATTCAATTCCTGATTGGGGAGAAATGTCTATCGACTATTTCGATCTTTCTATAAGGACGCTGTATAGCTGTATATATATACCCCTCAGCCCAGGTTGGCCCTGGCACAGACAGGGTCGGAAGCCAGCCTCCTATGAGGCATTGCGTTTTTTGGGTTATTTTTAATCGATGAAAAATGCCCAACGGACGGGAAAATGCGGTTTCTTCGATTTCATTATTTTGACAAGCGTTTGATTTCACCATGACGTAACACATTTTTGAATAATGTACAGCTCGGGTTGAAACAGCCTGAGAAGAGACTGTAAATGCGCACTTTGAATAAACAGTACATATAGTCGACAAAAGCCCACATGGAAGACTGATCAGTGAGATAGCGATAACCTACAAAGATGACACGCTCTTACTGAAAAACTTCTGCAGAGATACTCAGCTGTGACTAGACATGTTTTCTGAGAAAAGAAAATGGCAAACTGCAACAAAGAAGCCACAGCAGAGTACTGTTGAACCCCTGAGCAATATGACAACCCACTGTCGAGGAGAAAACTGCTCATCTTTGAGAGGTGGTCGTCCTGGACTACATGTATTTATTATGATATAGGGAGAAAAAAAAGGGGGGAAGGGAGTGGTCATTTGTGTTGTAGGTCTACGAGCATTTTTTTTTTTTTTGGGGGAGTGGAAAGTGGTCGTTTGTGTAGGTCAACAGGCAATTTGGTTTCAGACAAATTAGCATAAGTTCGACTGTATTTTCAAATATAATTATGTGCCGTTAGCTCGTAAAAATGTGTAAATTCTTTGCTGCATCGACAAGCCGAAGGGCAAGAACACAGATGGCCGCTAGATCGGAAAAGTAAAGTGAAAGTACGTGCCGTCTTCTCTCTATCCTCTACGAAGTTAGTTACCCAACGATTGCAAATGTTTTTCAAAAATCATCCTAAGTGCATCTGGAGCCTGCAGCAGGGCTACATCAAGTATGGGAATGGAAATTGAAGCCATCACGAAAGCGCTTGAATGGATGACCCAAGATCGCCCCCAACAACCCATGTTGTTCTCATCGCTGGTTCCAAGTGTACCCTCAGAAGGATCGAAAAAGGTTTCCTGAGAACAGACTGGATTCAACTTATCGAAGCAACGCTATACAGTCGCTCACATGGATTTTGTGCCCTGGCCATGCAGGCGTTAAGGCAAATGCAAAAAGCCGACAGACTGGCTGGTGAGGCCACCTTAGTTGACAATACGTTTCAACCAGATAGGGTCGAGATCCTGAAATGTCTCTCTCGCCAGCTGACTGAGGAGGAAGATAGGGAGGCAGAGGCCAGTACTGCTGTGGAGAGGATGATGTTTTTGGGAATACAAAAAGGAAGCGGAAAATCTGGCATCCTGGCAGGAAAGAACAGGGGAACGTTCAACCAGATGTGCACCGACGCAATCAGTGGAAAGACCCTCGGTGACATTTTGGAGAGAGCAACGGAGCTTCAATGGATATGTCCGGAATGCAGGGATGTTGCTTCCTGAAACAATGAACAACGAACAAAGAACAATGAAATGTTTTTCAATTTACAGCACCCGCGAGACGTTCGTTTTAAGAACAGACCAATTACAAGGCAGGCTGTTTTACCACCCCAACCCTCCCCACCCCGTCTGTCAAGACCAACACATTTGCGGTGAGGATACAATTACAATCCAGCAGAAAAAAAGAAGCAGTACATTGTGTCTGCCCCATGCGGGACTCAAACCCATGTCCTTTGAGCTGAAAAGCACCGTGCATATAACCTAACAGTAACAACACGGGTGTAGGAGTTTATTTGTCAATGACACATGATAAAGAAGGGCATGTAGTCTCGTCTTCCGATGCAAAATTGTTGGCCCTTGCTTCGACTCCCCCCATCGTGGCTTCATGAGGCGATTCCCTCAATATCCTCCCTGATTACCAAACAGTCTCCCAATCTCCTCGTTGTTTGGATTCACCGGGCCCAGAATCTCTGGGTGTTTTGTCTCAAACTCCCTCCAGAGGACTTTGGCAAGTAGTGCCTGGCCAATCTGAAACATGAGTTAAAAATTGTTATAACAGATCGATTATATAATTATTCAATTGTTTGTTTGTCCTTTTCTTTATTCTTCTTTGTTTTAGTTTTAGCTTTGGTAATAGTTTTACGGTATTTATAACACAGATAGGTCATATAAGTGTCGAAGATTAGATGTGTTACTAGAGATCGAGTAACAACAACAAGAACAACATTATTATTATTTTTATTACTATTATTATTATTATTATTATTATTATTATTATCATCATCATCATCATCATTATCA